CAGAACATAGAATTAACCTATTAGTGGGCTATTGTCATGTGAAACAATCATTGTTAATTAGCACTACCGTATATACGGTACCTATCGTAAAATATGAACATGAAATAAATCGTAACATTTCTATCTAGCTAACAGTTTCTACAATCAGTGATTAATAGTAAACGTCTTTATTCACTAATGTTTTCATCACTGGAATCCTCGCAGCTCTCTTCGTCAGAAGCAGATTCATTTCTTCTTTCCTCATCATCGTCATCGTCATCCTCGGCGTTCCAGAGCACGTCATCGTCACTGCCATTCAATGAATTTGAAATGATGCAGCATTTCTTGAAAGATTTCACAATCATTGGTGCTTCGATGCTTTTCCAGGCAGCAGAAACCCAGTGTGCAACAATGTGCGGTGCAGCACGCTTAATTTTTCCTGTCGGGGTCAATACACGGTTTGGCTCACAAAACCATTTTTCGTACTCCGCCTGAACGTACCCCTTAAAAGGTTTATTTATACTAACGTCCAGGGGTTGTAACACAGACGTCATCCCTCCAGGAATGATAACAAGATCACTGCCTAGGCTGTGCATCTTCTTTTTTACGTCGTCGGTGAGATGACCACGAAATGCGTCCAGACAAAGCATTGATGGTGGATTAGAGAGCCCACCGGGACGGCGTTTCCATACATTTCGGAGCCAATCAAGCATTAATGATTCCGTCATCCACCCCTTCTCTTGGTTTCGAATCAGGACATCATCTGGGAACAGCTTTTCATTCTTAGGGGTTTTAGGGCATGTTTTACCGCATGAAGATTAAGAAAGGGGGAAGTTTGCACCCGTCTGCTGTTATTGCCAGCATCACTGTTACGCGTTGTTTTTCACATCCCGAAGTTTTGATGATAACTTCCTTAGTCCCCTTCTCCGTAATGGTGTAGTTACGAGGCATATCAAACCAAATTGCCGTCTCGTCAGCGTTGCCAATTTGCCCCATTGAAAAATTCTTTTCCTTCCGAAGTGTGATGACATACCGCTGAAATGTTAGTAGTTTTCCCTCAAAATCTGCAGGAAGCTTTTGGCATATTGTTGTACGGCGTCTTAGAGATAAACCCATCCGCTTCATAAACCGATCCACCCATCCACGGCTAGCCTTAAACTCTTGTTTCGGTATTCCAAGAACTTCAGCCTCCTCTTTTGCTTTATTTCTTATGGTGTCACTAGTCACAGGTTGTCCATTCTTCCTCCTTTCACGTACAAATTCCAAAACTTTTTCTTTCAATTTTAGGGTGTCTTCCTTTGCGAGGGCCAGTGAATTTCTTTCTACTAGCTTTAGTTGCAAACAGTGCCAATTTCTGTTGCCGCCACAAGCGAACATTGCTCTCAGCTACGTTTAAAACTCTCTCCCTGCCTTTCTATTGCCATTTTTTTCAGCATAAAGAATTACTTTACGTTTGAAAGTAGCGTCATATGACATTCTTCTCTGTTTGCCCTCCATTTCGTGACTACGTACTCTGCAGTTTGTATCCTCTATGCAATAATGTGTCAACGATAAATGTAACGGTAAATGTAGTCGAGAAATTTGGTTGACGTCATCGGCGAACTTTGCACTCGAATCTAATGCGCCATCGAATCTAATGCGCACCCCAATTTTGAATACTACATTTGGCCAAAAACGATGCGCATTAGATTCGCGTAAATACGGTATTTATTTATTTAATGCACGCGCTCTTGTATTTTCAATTTTTCCGGCTTAGCTTTCTTTTAATATTCGTCACGCGCTGCACTGCGCGAGAAATAAAACCATTTAATTTATAATTGAACTAACATTTATCTTTTTAAATACCAAATTCGTAACACTATTTATAGAAATTTTCGGAAATGACGTTCAATGGTAAAATAATAAATATTTAGGTGATTTTTTTCAATGGCAGGCTCATGCCTTTTATAGACGTTGGCAGATTACAAGGCAATTTCACAAAAAGGCTACATACTTTCTGCTTACCATGACAGACCAAGCATCACAAAATTTTCGGAATTAACTTTTTGCAAAATTTCATTTCGTTACATTTAGTCTCCAGATCACTAGCTATTTTCTTGGGGTTCCATACACTGGCTTAGTATTTTATTATGATAGTAGCGAGTCTGGGGTATAAAACCACTAACTTGAAGGTTGCAGAACCCAAGAGAAGATTGCTTCATACGATTCGACCAACGGGAATAGGCGAAGACAATGTGCCTGTATATCACCTGAGGGTTGGTTCACTAGAGTGAGTGATGGAATCTCTGATGAGCAGAGAGGTTATAATTCTGTACTCAGAGAGGTGGCTGGATAATGGATGTGTGTCCTAGTACTGGTTGTACTGGCCGTAGTACTGGTTGGAGCAAACTGACGACCAATCATATATTTAGGCGGTGTCCGCCGATAACATCGCAGCAAAAACATCGCGGACGAAAACGTCGCGGAGAAAACAACGCAAGGCGAAAACGTCGTGCTACAAAACATCGTAGGAGAAAACATCGCAAAGAGAAAACATCGCAGTTCTAAAACATCGTGGTACAAAACATCGACTTCGAAAATAAAGCGGTTCAAAAACTTCCCAGTTTAAAAACATCGTCGTCGAAAATATCGTGGTAAAAAATAAAGTATCTACAAATCATCGCATGACGATAACATCGCAGACATGCTTTTTTCAGGCTTTAATAACTGTAAATGGATATTCCCATAATGATTTGTGAGCGCAAGATGTAAAGAAGGATAATTTTTACTTTCATATTTTTCATTAAATATTAAATTTTTGCTGAGAAAAATAAGAAGTTCAAAACTTAAGCATAGAAAATTAATGCAACTTATAGCACTTAATAGAATTTTAAACCGACATAGTTAACTAACAAAGACCATTAATAATTATCTCTTTTATAAAGTTTTATAAAGTTTTAAAACAGATTAGAAAAAGGAAAATGAGGAATAGCATTTTTACTTCCATAAAAAGTATTCATTGTCAAATTATAACTTCTATTAAGTTGCATCAATTAATTTTCTGATGCTTAAGTTTCCTTCTTATTTTTTCAGCAAAAATTTATTAGTTAATAAAAAAATGTGAAAGTAAAAATTATCCTTCCTTACATCACTTGCGCTCACAAATCATTATGGGAATATCCATTTACAGTTATTAAAGCCTGAAAACAAGCATGTCTGCGATGTTATCGTCATGCGATGATTTGTAGATACTTTATTTTTTACCACGATATTTTCGACGACGATGTTTTTAAACTGCGAAGTTTTTGAACCGCTTTATTTTCGACGACGATGTTTTGTACCACGATGTTTTAGAAGAGCGATGTTTTCTCTTTGCGATGTTTTCTCCCACGATGTTTTGTAGCACGACGTTTTCGCCTTGCGTTGTTTTCTCCGCGACGTTTTCGTCCGCGATGTTTTTGCTGCGATGTTTTCGGCTGTAACCATTTAGGCATCCCAAACCCGCCACAGTTGCTGAACCCCGGAAGTGGTGATGCGCTTGAGCCGTTCAGCGGTGGAGTTTAAGAGAACTTAAGAAGTCTATTGATCCGTGTACTTGGGACTCGTGTGTCGATAAATGAAACAAATTACCCTATTCAAGCCGACTTTTAACTGGATTGCCAACTCCGCACCTGATATCAGGGCTGTTCAGTTGGGACTTGGCTCGGGGAGTCCGAAGGAAGTCGGAACATGTATAATATTATTACTGTTAGGAAATGACTATCTCTTCTTTGCGTTTCATGTTTTATCATGACAGAGAAAGCTTAATTATTTTACTAATATCTATGAATCAAAAAGAAGTTTTTCATTTGTAAAGATATTATTAACATATCTTACCTGTTACTACATTGTCATCATGATTTAGCTATTTTCAACTATTCAACAAAAAATATTACTGCTTTGTGATATTAGTATGTAATACTGGTATGGTATATGTAACAGAAAAAAATATTACTAGTATAAAATATTGGTAAGTAACAGGTAGCAGAAAAATTTCCGGTATGCACCTATTGATATATAATATAGTATATAATACTGGTATGGTATATGTAACAGAAAATCTTACTGGTTTGAAATATTGGTATATAACAGATAACAGGAAAATTACTTGTATGGTATATGAAAAAAGAAAATTTTACTGGTTTTTAATACTGGTATGTAACAGGTAACAAAAAATAATACTGGTATGCAATAGTGGCATGGATTATGGTATGTAATATTGGCATATGATACTGATGGTATGGTTTGGTTTGCTTAATTATGGCAAAGAACACTAGGGCTATCTGCCTAAGGGATGGGATGCCTTCGTGGAGGATTTTCTAAGGGAAACTGACTCGTATGCACAACTGGGAATATGGTATATGTAAACCAAAATACGTATTACGAGTATGTAATAACCTCTAAAATAAACTTAAAAGAAACGAAAATTAGAGTTATGTAATAAACTCTGCATAATCACAAAACATTTGATTAAAATTTATCTTTTGGAAGTATCCTACAAAATAATAATACATGGGTATTTAGAATAACCCTTCTGAGTTTTAAGCATGCAATTTTTATAAATATTATAGCATTTGAGAATTGAAGGAACTGTTAGCTTTATTTTGCTCAATTTATCTCATTTTTAAAATTTCTAAAGCACACGGAAATCTGGTAATCATAGTTCACAAATTAATGTAGTTTTCAATATCTTCAATATATAACTTGTAAAACATATCATCAAAATTTGATAAACAAGCTTTGTTTTGAACGTTAGAAATTTCACAATTCTTGTGAGATGAGAATTCCTTTTAGGAATACTTTTTTATGCTTCAGGTAATGTCGTGAAATAGAAATCTCTGTTAGATTTGTTGTAAATTTTGTAGAATATTAAGATAATTTATATTAATATTTTACATCATTAATTAATACTTTATAATTAATATTAATTTAATTTACTATTAATTAATATTTAATTTTATTAATATTATTATTAATTAATATTTCAGAGAGTTTTCACTCACTCTCACATCCTCCAAACCTATGCTTGTAGCCGTTTTCGCAAACGCATCGTTTCCTCCCAATGCTGAAATAACAAGATGTTGAATGTGGTCCACAGACGCAACCTGAAAGAAAAGCAAATGAGAAATGTATTTCAAAACAAATCTTAAATTGAGTGGTACAAAATTTCAAATTTCTCATTTTATTTCAACACAGAGAAATTTTTATCATCTTCATATAAAAATTATTGACAAGAAGAGAAGTACTCATACATGTAAATGTGATCTTGTATCGGTACCTTAATACATGTACAAAACCTGCTATGCCTATACACGGTATATACAAAGAATCTCTCAAAGACCCGTTATCCTAACTAACAGGCCTGGTGTTTCGTAATAGCGTAATAATATTACGTAACTACGAACCAGATACTCCCATACGAAGATATGTAGCTTTAAGTTTTCATAATGAAATATATCCTATCCAACCCAATAAGAAGTCTTTTGTTGATTTTTCCGCTAAATCCTACGTGATATATTTGACTTCGAATCTAAAATGAACTGCGGTGCCACTAAGGAAAGCACCTCCTTTATTGCCGGCGATTATGCAAATATTTAACATCCTTCCACCTAAGGAAAAAAAAAAAGTCAACTTTCACATCAAAGTAAAACAATGCCAAAGAGCCTTAATATGCCAGTCTGTCTGGCGGAGTTACAGTTCTACCAGATCCTGTTACAGGTCTTACAGATTTATCATCTACGTCGAGTTTAAGTTCAGACAACGAATCTTGTTTTTCATTCTGCAGCTTCACGGGTACATCATTTTGCGCTACCTCTAAAGGATACAGAGTTCGAACTGCTCTAAGCAAAATTCCATTTCGGGTCTTTACTCTTGCAAGCCGATTTATTCCATCAGGTCCTGGAAGTAGTTCTATGACACGACCAAGTTGCCAAAAAAGTCTTTTGTCACTACTACCGATCAAAACAATATCATCTAATTTAATAGTAACTTTCCTTTCAGCTCTTTTATGCGAAACCTTGAGAATTCCCAAATATTCTTTACGAAATCTATTTTTAAATGCTTCTCGTACAGTTTGAATATACTGAAATCTTCTTTGTAAATTACTTGATTTAATACCGTATTTTATATCCCGCAAACTACTAGTTCTAATTTCTTTTAAAAAGTCGGCAGGAGTTAAAGCTTTAAATTCAGGATCGGAAGGAATTACTGTCAACGGTCGGTCATTAAGAATCGCTTCACAGTCACACAGTATCGTGTACATTTCTTCATAATTTAAACAAGCATGTTTAAGAACTTTTTTAAGGACTTGCTTCATCATTCCGATCAGACGTTCCCACCAACCACCCCACCATGGAGCACCAGGGGGAATAAATTTCCATGTTATCCGCTCATTGGCTGCCTGCCGATTAATTTGTTCAAAATCTATTAATTTGAAATGCATTTGAAGCTCCTACAAAATTAGTTCCATTATCACTGTACACAGTTGTGGGTTTACCTCTTCGTGACACGAACCGATGAAAAGCCTGAAGAAACACACTTCTGTAGATAGAGAAGTCAGCAACTCCAAATGGACCGCTCTATAAACGGCGCATGTAAAAACACAAATCCATGCCTTTTCTTTGTTTCTCAACAATAAAGGACCACAAAGGTCTATACCCGTTACTTGAAATACTGCTGAATCATTTACTCGCTCTATTGGCGGTGGGGCTGATATGTGGTCAACAGGTACAGCAGAATATCTCTTGCAAGTAATGCATTTACTCAAAACAGAACGCACAGTTCTTCTGCCAGATAACAACCAAAACCTTTCCCTTAAGGTATTCAGTATATATTGTACACCTGCATGTCCTTTCTTTTTATGTTCTTCCATAATTAAATTCCTAACTAATGGATGTTCTCCTGGTAATATTATAGGTGTTCTAAACTCTAACGTGTCATCTCTTCGAAACGCACCAGTTTTAATTCTTAGAATTCCCGCATCATAAAATGGACTAAGAGTTCGTAAGCGTGCGTCTTCTATATCCTGAAACGATTCCGATTGAATCAAGCGAATAACAACCTTTTCTGCAAAATCAATTTCATCAACAGTGAGTTCACCTTTCCTTTTTTTTATTTCTGCAATTAAAGAAAAATCGTTGAATCCAACCAACAACTCTAACTGTTTTTCGATAGCTAGAAAATCGCTCACTCAAACTAAACCTTTCAGTAGACACTAGAGATGAAACCACTGCCTTTTTTTTTCTCGCTGGCTATTTCCGCTTCATCAGTTATAAATTCGGCACTCGGCCAATTTTCTTGGGATTTTAAAAGCCAGCTCGGACCCTCCCACCATTTTGACCGGGAGAGTTGGCGAACTGAACACCCTCTACTTGGAAGATCTGCAGGGTTAAGGTGACCAGGTATATGCCTCCAATCCTCCACACGTGTCAAAAGCCTTATTTCCTGTACTCTATTTTCTACAAATGTCCCCCATTGTTCTTCCCTTTTTATCCATGCAAGGACAGTAGTTGAATCTGTCCAGAAAAATATACTTCTGGCCTCAAAGTCTTTTAGAACGTCTGCAGCAAGACGAGATGCAATAGTTGCTGCTAACAATTCTAATCTTACAATAGTAGTTTCCTTTTTACCACAAGGGGAAACTCTAGACCTAGCCTGAAGCAACTGGACTTTAACTGATTCAGGTTCTTGAATACGCATGCTGCATACTTGCTGCTGACTGAACTGGAAAACATGAGAAACATGGAACTGATATGTTGACTTCACAGAAATGTTTGGTTTTGGCTGATATCGTATCCACCTTGGAATTTTAATGTTTTTCAAAAGAGAAATGTCCTTTACCCATTTCAAAAATTTACTTTAATTTCGGTTTTAACTTCTTCGTCCCATTTTACTTTTGTTTCCCATGTACGCTGTAATAACATCTTAGGTAATATAAGGACTGGACATGTTATATACCGATGGGATCAAATACTTTATGGGCTATTGCCAAAATACTTCTTTTCGTAACTTTCTCGAAACAAAGATTTTGTAAATTAGCAACATTTATTTGAAGAGTATCGCCTTGTCTTTCCATAACAAACCTAATACATTCGCAATAGTTTCTGTTTCTAAACTACAGTCGGTATATTCCCAACCCCGTAATTCAAATTTTCGTTCTGCCATAACATCTGAAGATACTTTCATGAAGCGCTGTAATTCATCTTCACTTCCGACACTTGTTACACAGTTATCAACATAGAAACTATTCATTAATTTAACAATAATGTTGGAAGAATATTTTACATCTGCATCATTTTTCTCCAAAATTGAATTTAAGTGATATTGAATAACAGCTCCAAGTAAAAATGGACTACAAGGTTACACCAAATACGACTCGACAATGACGAAAATGCTTCAAGCCATCTTCACCCTTTATCCAAAGAAATCGGAGGAAGTTTCTGTCACTAGAATTCAGGCCAATTATCAGAAATCACCCCTATTTTTTCTTGGCGAAATCTATTTAAGATTGTAGGAATAAATGAAATAAGGTTTAATCCCTTTTCAAGACAATCGTTGAGACTCGGAGAACCTTTTACTTTAGACGAAGCGTCAAATACTGGCCGTAACTTCGTAGTACTATGTTCCTTAACAACATGTCTTATGTGGCAAATAATGATGGGGTAAATCTAATTCATTTACGGGTACTTCCTCTATTATGCCTTCTTTGAGCCATTCTTGGAATATATTTTCATACTCTTGGCGAAGAGATTATCCAGTTGCCTAATCGTACCGTGCAACCTTTTAAGCGATAACTCACAAAATTATCCGACAGGGAAGGGTGTCCCTTCCAACCAAGGCGAAGACACTACAAAGCGGTTATCTTCTATTTTTACAGTATCTAAGAACAATGTTGCCTAGGTAGCCTCATACAATTCCAATTTACTCTTTTGTTCGGATGGGTCCGTAATACCAAGCGAGTCGAAGGGCCCATAAATCAGAAATACAAGCCTCTTTATTCAACATTGAAGTAACTAAGAATGTTGAACCTTCACTATTCAACTCCCCTGGTTTTTCCCATAACCGTCCATCCTAACTTTGTCTCAATAGCTACAAGACCGTTTGAAATTTGTTTACGATTCCCCGTTAATAATCGTCCTGCAACATCGGCTCCTATTAAAATTTCTATAGGTCCTTCTAAACGATCTGTTAAACTTATTCCACAGTCAGCAAGCTCTTTAAGCCATATTCCTTGTCCAATAGAAGGTATACTATTACAAATAACAGGCTGACTTAACGCATCAAAATTACAACTGTACGAGCCAGACGTACTAGATAAATGAATTTTGTAAACTTTATGTTCACACAAACTGGTCGTTGTACCGCCAAATAATGCGTGGCTAAGGTATTCCTTTACCGTGTACCTGTAACCCATATCTTGAGCTACGCTTTGCACAATATACGACCTATGAGAACCAGGATCAATTATAGCTCGAGCCGAACGAGATTTTTTATCTCCTTTAATTATTACTCTTATTGTTTGCAGCAAAACTTTAGGAGACCTTGAAGAAATGTTGGCGAGTGTTTCATCCTGATTTGGAGGCTGTTCTGTTGCCCTTGTCTCACTCATTTGTGAACGGCCTTTACATAATAAAATATGATGCCTTTTACAACATGTAAAACAAACTGTTTTTAATTACACCTACTGACAGAATGTCCGAATTTCAGACACAGATAACAACAGCGTGTCCTTTGGACCAAAGTTTCCCTTTCCGACACAAAGATAAGTTACGCGCCTGAAAACATTCAGCAGAACATGATTATATTGGAACAAAATATACAGCTTTTCCTAGCTTCATGAGAAGAAATAAACAGTTCAGCTGCCGTAGGTTTTAAGCGAGGTTCTCTTATCTTTAAACCAGAATTTCCTTTCTTATTACCGTTAGCCAATCGATCAAAAACATTGAAAGATTTAGCTGCTAAAGAAATTCTTTCCTCACTTTCAACTTCAACGCGCAAGAAACATAAAAGGCGCTCAAGGTCAGATTCCCTTTCTCTTAACTGGGCATTTTCGCCGGTTAAACTTTCTGATCCTTTACGCGAAAACCTAAGTCTCTCCCAGGTTTTT